AAAAAAACTATTTGATATCTCAAATGAACATCAATTTAAATAAGGTGCATTACTTACTGATATAAAAATAAAGGCCCCTTGAACTGATGCAAATACATGCATCGGGATTACAAACTGAAAAAGTTCATTCCAGAAGTTCAAAAAAATAAATATATATAGAAAATGATTGCACTGAACAAGTTAGACTTGTCTATGTAAACAAACTGAAAAAGTGCATTCCATAGTAACAAAAAAATAAGTTTGGTTCCATGGTTCCATTCAAATGAATACCTTTTCACTAAGGTAAATGGGGTTCAGTTGTTCGTTTATCTCATATTAGGAGAGAGAGAGACAGAGACAGAGACAGAGACACAGAGTCTGTGTGTGTTTGAGATAGTGTTGTCACGGTACCAAAATTGGGACCCACGGTACGATACCAGTGACAGTATCACAGTTCTGAGTAGTATCACTATACCACAGCAAAAATGAGGCAGATGTGCCTTGTCATTTATAAAAAGATAAATCACTTTTCTATAATACATCAATGATATTTCAATGAAATAAATTACTTATTGACTTATTCATGCTTCAAAAACAGCATCAGTAAGCGATTAACATAGGGAGGATCAAAATAAAATAAATAAATGAAATAAAAATCAACCAGCCACCCTCCTCCCCTAACAAGTCCCTTCATAAGTAACGAATAGTCCCTAAAGTTTCTCCTCTGATACGCCACATGCTGCCATGGCTCAGCTGTTCAGGTACTTTTGGGCAGTCATGACAACAAGTTATTCACGCCGCTGCTAAATGAATGTAGCGGAAACACTGATATGTACTGTGGAGTTTTAGTGCCGCGGTCTACTGTTGGTACCAGTATACCGTGCAAAGTGTGAGAGAGAGAGAGAGTGTGTGTGTGTGTGTGTGTGTGTGAGAAAGAGAGTGTGTGTGTGCGTCTGTGTGAAATTATGACCGAGTTAACGAGTTGTTTTCCAACATGAGGGGGTATTCTTGAATTTTCCCAGTCAGAAAGAGTTTTTCTGATTATGCCGACGTCACTTGAACGCAGCATTCACTGCAGGCCAATCAGGTCTCATAGTGGGAGCGGGGCACTGCCGTGCTGACAAAATTATATATGTTATCGGGGCTATTCGTCATGATATCGGACTTATCGGAATGACGTAATAATTCCTGTTATCGGCCCGATAGTTATCGTGCACCCCTAAAAATTGTTAAGATTTTATTGAAATCAGTGCCATTATTGATTCTGCTTATTGCAGCTTATTGCCCCTGATTTTTTTATTGAGTTCCTATTGATTCTTAATCAGTTTTCTGTGTGGAAAAAAGCTGTTTTTTATACAGGTTTTCAGTAAGGGTCTTGAAAGAATCAGTACAGTGTAGTATCGCAATATTTTTGTGTGGCAATATCGTATCGCCACAGAGTGCCAAGTAACAATTTTTTAATTACATAAATTATAAATATTACAAATACAAATTAAAGCGGCCCACTAGAATAATATAATGAATTGCTTTTTCAGTCCATGAGATACGTTTTGCTGCTGCGAAAAAATGAGATGAACAGACTGAAAACTTATTAAACATATTAGATAAAACAGATGATGACAAAGTTTTCCTCTAGGGACATAATTTACAGTTGGAAAAAAGTAATACATCACAATATATTGCAATATATTGGTAATACTCAGTGTATCGCAACATATTTAAGATTGCTGTAATGTATAGTGTCTTAAGTATGGTATCGTGGATCCTCTGGTGATTCTCACCCCTAGTTTTCAGTGTCGCCACTACTGCTTTATCATCTCTGTTGTTTCCACTGTTACTTGAAATCATAATTTTACAGACATTACAAGCAGCACTGTTGTCATCTTTCCTTGTGAAATGAAGCCATGCTTTGGACTCTTTCTCCCTCTCTGCCATGACTCTTGCTTGTCACAAGTTTCTAGCAGTGTAGACGCATGATTTGACATTGTTGTTTTGCATTGTGCAACTGTCAGGAAAATGTGCCGGCATCAATAAAAGGACTGGACAGTTTAAAACCAGATCTCAACTGGAACTGGTTCTCGATTCCCATCCCTATTGGTTGCATTTCTAAGAGGTTGGAATTGACCAGCCTGTGGCCGCCAGCTCTTCATCTAACAGCTCACTGTGGCTGCTTTTTCTTGTTTTCATTGCTCCCTGCAATATTTCAAAATGATCTGCTGTCAAAAAATGCCAAAAATGACGTTGTCTTATTTTGTAGACATTTTTTTTGATGAACCGCGGTGTTAGTGTTAATCTCACTGTAAAACACTTTGTATTTCCTGTGACCACTTCATAATAAAAGTCAACTCATGTTTCACTTGGTAAATGTTTTTAATGTGAAGCTGCAGCAGTAGAAAATGTTTGGTTAGCATTAGTAGTAATTTAAACCAGCACTCTATAGATATTGACCATCATCAGCGAACATCTTTTCTTATAAAATGTCCAGTGTAATCAGCAACACCGGTGCTGTCATGTAAGTTTCCTCACCATGGCATCGCTTTCTAATATTGGCTGCTATGTCCAAGAATTCACTGCTCACCAAACACTTTTTATAAAAGAATATGACCATGAAATGGTTCATATCCTGTCAAAGTAATGATTGGGATATGCTTGAAATGAACTAGTTCTTAGAAGAGCCATACAAACATGTCTGAAGGATGAAGGAGCACTGAAAGGGGAACCCCACCCACTTATTTTACACATCAAAGTCTGTTTACAGGTCTGGAGGAGCACTACTGCATATGTGAAAAAGCTGTGTGAAGCTTTTTTTGGCTCTAGAAAGAGCTGCACAAAATCTGATTAATGTGTGAGGTCAAGTGATGTCTGCAGCTGGTGGTAATTTCCCAGTTTTCATCAGGAATGGCATACTTAAAACACACTAAAAATACACTTTCACTATTTTAGCATAGGCCTCATTTGCTGGAATTACAAAGTAAACACATATAGGTTATATTCAACACTAATAAGCTTCATGGACTTGATGTTGTTTGGGTGAATCTGCTTTAGATTGCAGTTTCATCTTCTTTGCCTCTAGCTTTGATCTTAATTAAATTGGAAACTGGGGGAAAAATTCAATGAATTGAATTGTCCTCTGTTTCTCTTTCTCCCTCGCCCAGAGTGCTCACATGCCCATGATCGATGCCCTGATGATGGCTTACACAGTGGAGATGATCAGCATCGAGAAAGTGGTAGCTTCTGTCAAGCGCTTTTCTACCTTCAGTGCCTCCAAGGAGCTACCCTTCGACCTGGAGGATGCCATGGTCTTCTGGATAAACAAGGTTTGAACACACAAACACACACACAGCAGAGACGTAAGCAGTGCAGATGCAATAAAGAAACACAAAACCACATATATAACACTCCCATCAGCGTTCCATACGTCTTGCACCAAGTCCAGCCTTTTATTCCCTAAATGTCTTGTCCATTATAATCCTAGGCTGCCACTCAGAAACATGTGGTAGGAATAAGCTGTTTTCATGCTGACATCATCAGCGACAGTGCCCCACTTGTCTTCTTGAGACCGAATATCACTTGTGCTTGGAGAAGGGCCAACAGATAGGAGTGTGGATCTGGTGCACACACAAGAGGCTCAGGCTCATGTTGCACTCATCTTTCAACGAGTTAAAGGCCTGAGGCAGCGAAAGTCATGACGCAGTGTGTCCATTAATCACCATGATGTTCCACACCATCACTGTCTGGGAAAAGGAAACGTCTGTATGCACTTGACAGTTTTTATTCCTAAGTGGGGGAATAAAAGATTGTTATTTTGAATAATCTATTAAATGTTGTCTATAAAATGTCAGAAAACTTTGATAGCATCAGAGTTTCCCAGAGCTGAAGGTGGCTTGTTTTATTGGACTAACACAGAATAGCCTTTCAAAACCATAAATAACTCTGACAAGTAGTTGAGTCTTTGTAAAATTCTGACACATTTTGCGCAGATGTGTGAAGAAGAGCTGTGCTTTGTCTATCTGACCTCTCACTGAGATGACAGTCTGCTGTGACACAGGCTCTTTCATATAGATATCCTACAACAGGGCAACAGAAACCCTTCATTAAGCCAGTTTTGTTTTTGTTTTTTTTATACAAAACTAATGATGGCGGCACCATGCTGCTCCATTGTGTGATGTTAGAGAGCATGCCAGTATTGCAGAAGCAAAAGAGGCGTGACGGGCATGACGTGTAACACAACAGCACCAGCCTGTTCGTGTGAAATATGATGTGTTGGGCAGTGCTTTCTAAACAGTAACAATGGCATAGCAATCATTTACCATCCCTGTTATGGCAGCTGATCTTATCCTCTGCTCAGAGGGTAAGGAGCTCCAAATCCTCACTGTCCCCCCAATTTGGGGACATTTTTGGCTGCTGTTCTTCTATGAGTTAGCTGCTAACTGCTGCATGCTTTAGATCTCCTGGCGGTGGGCTCACACATAGCAAGTCATTAAAACATTGCACCCATCCGGTCCTGCTAGCCCTCCCTGTTACACAGACATTGATTTGGCTCTGTTAACTACCTCTGCTACTGGCTTAAAGGTGAGAAAAGTCTGCCCCTGGGTCCCTGATCACACTTTTTTATGTAGAACGGCGAGGCAGTATAACAGCGTAACACTCCCGTCTTGAACAGGCAGTGTAAAGGGGGCTACAGACACATGCACCGAAGAAAAAAACACAGGTTGAGGGTAGGGGAAAAACTGGTTACTGACCCGTCGCATGTATATGCAGATGTACATTAGCCTGGTTACTACAGAGCATGTAAACATGTTTTTAAATTATCTGCATATTCTTTTCTGTCTATCCTCTGTGTATCTGGTATCTTGAGTGCATGAAAACATCTTAAGTGTGTCATTATTTCTTCTGCAGGTGAACACGAAGATGAGGGAAATTACAGAAAGGGAGCACAAAGTCAAGCACCACCCCCTGGAGTCCCCCAGCCACCAAAAGGTAATGGCACTCACAGTGTCTTCTATGCGGGAGAAGAAACCTAAATTACCAGAGCTAAAATGGCCAACAGATTTCTGCCAGTAGCTCAATATTTCTCGTATATGGGGTCTTTCAGGAGAAACTCCTTTATTAAAAACATTTCCCTCATTAGTCTTTATCCAGGTGTCTTCGCCACAAAATCTTTATCAAGTAAAAACTTGGTTCAAGACAAAGGCAGGATCCTTAGTTTTGATAAGGAATGTTTCTCCGTAATGGCATTTTGGAGTTGTTCTGACCCTGCGCTGTTTTTCTCTGTTTAAACTGGAAGCAGATCCAAACCTTTTGTCTGTGACCTCTGACCTGTTGATCTCTCTGCTCCTGTTCCTCATCTGTCCTTCCCTCCCCTCTCTTATCCCTGCAAACTGGATAGTCTCCCTCCAAATGGTATTGGAAGCTAGTCCCTGTAAGTTGGATGCCAGCGCCCCCCCCCCCCCCCCCCCCCCCCCCCCCCCCCCCCCCCCCCCCCCCCCCCCCCCCCCCCCCCCGCCCATAACCCCATTTTCGTCCCCCTCTCCCCCTTGCACGCATAGTTCTGTGTTGATGTGCGCGCACACTCCACCATGGCTCATTCAAGCTCATTCTGTGCTGCTTGTAGCCGGTGTGTCAGCAAGGGGGAGAAAGCTGACAGCTATTTTTTTGTTTCTTTTTTTCCCCTTGTGGCAAATATGTCACACAGGTGTAAGGTTATTCTGACCTTTGTGAAGTGTTTAAAAAATATTCTTTTAGCTACGCAATGTGTGCTATCTCATTTCAAGCTCAAGTAGGCCATGTGGATTCGCTGTGCGTGTGTGTGTGTTTGGTATTTGCTTGCCCAGTGAGAATAAGAGGGAATCCATGCCTACACCTCTCCTTTGCTTTGCTGTCCCATCCCTGGCCACCTCCTCTCACTGATCTGCTTTGTCATTCCCCCTCCGGTCTCTCTCTTCTGCTCTCACACACTGTTTCCTCTGTGCACACGGTCTCCTCTGACAGTATCTCTGCTCTCTCGTGTGTGTGTGTGTCAGCCTGATGTCATGCACGAGCTGGCCCACTGCATGCTGGAGCCAGAGGGGCTCTCCAAAGCGGTACAATGTTCACTCTTAGTCAGGAGAAGTCCCCTGATGTAGAGCGTATTTTGTAGTAGAGCTCCTTAAGTTTGGTAGTTTCACCTGTGGCTTGTGACAAAAGCTGCCTCAGTACAGATGGTATAATGTTGTTGAATGGCCTCCTAATACACTGTAGATGCCTTATAGTAATAAATAAATAAATGCTGTATGTAATAAGTTATTTGGATGAATATCTTTTTAGCTGCTCAGCTGTGTTGTGCTGACTGTGATCCTTTTAGATTGTGCATAGTTATCTCATAGTTGCATCAGTCCTGTGCAAGGGTTTGGCATGTTTGATCAGTTTGTGTTTAAAATAAACAGGGCTCTAGACTGCAACAAAAATGGTCATGTGTGACGGTTGTGTGTTAGTTAAGATTTCATGTGGTCACATTCACACAGTGACAGATGATTCATATGGCAGGTCCAACACGTGTTAAATGGGCACTGACAGGTGTGCGTTATGTACTTGAGGTGTATGAAATGTCTGCATCGTCACTGCGTGCAGGAGCTGTCTCACTACCTCTACCTGTCCTTGCAGATCTCGTACTTACACTACTGAAGTTACATCCAGTAATTACTGCTACTAACGGCAGAATGTTACCAGTGGAAACACTGGTTGTTTTTCAGTGTAGAGGATTGTGATGTTTATTACAGCTTCAGTAATATATGCTGTCTCATGTTCGATGCACAGATCCAAGTCCAGTCACTCACTGGAGCAGCTCCAGTCTGTGTTCGTCTTTGCTGTCTGTGGCGCAGCAGCCTTCAGTGTTGATAGGCTGTCACTCGTTATGTGTAGCAAATCAGATATTGAGTGAGGCTGCAGAGTGGTGACCACAGACAGAGAGAGGCGGTGGCATGAGAGCCAAAGTAGCACTTTTTTCAGTTTTTGGCTATTGGAATAAAAAAACAAAGAAACAATGATGATGAAGAAGAGTGCGACCAAATCATGTGTTTTTGTGACCAACTGAGAAAGTCATCTGTGAGAACGTTAGTCTGGAGCCCTGAATAAAGCTTTGATCTTTTTGTTAAAGGGTTTAACGTTTTTGTCTTTGGAGTGTATAGCCCAACCCATACTACATTTTTTAAAGGGCAACACTAAAACTGATATTTCATCGTCTTTAAAGAATTGTGACCAACATACATACTGAGCAAATCAACTTGTCAGTGCTGTCTGCTGTTCAAACCATGAAATTGTAACACTTTTTCTAAATACCTCAAACCTATCTTGGTTTTACTGTAGTGCATTTTTTTTTGTTACTAATCAACGGACACATATATTAGGCTGTATCGACAAAAAACTAATATCTGTTGGAATCATTCTTGCTTCTGCATCAAGTGATTCAAATATCTTGGACGTCTCTCCACATTGGAGACACTGCAAGCCTCATTCAGTCTGCATTTCCTGATAACTTCCAATAATTTTCTTTATGTGTCTTTTACAAGTGCCACAGACAATGTGAGGTTGATTAGTCGTTACATAGGGAGCGGTATTTCCAGTATAAGGTGAATATCTTTAAGTCATGCAGAAACATTTGGAGTGACAAGCAGCAGTACCAGTTAGTACAGTCTGCTCAGGCATCCTGTGCGGTCTGTTTATGTTGCTCCAAGTCATATAGGTCTGTAATTGATGTCTATTTTTAGTTTCTATAACGGGTGCCTATGTAACAATGATTAGCCTGTATCATTTGGGTCTGTTGTGTTTAGTTAATTTGTGCTTTTTCAATTTGATGAATGAATTGTGGACACTGTAATAAATGCAGAAAATGCTCATCCCTATCAGCTGTAAGAGTAGGTTTCCAAAACTAATGCAGCTGGGGTGAGTGAGTTCCTGTGCTTACTACACACTCATTTCCAATAAGTGGGCCAGTGATTACCCCAGTTTCTCTTCCCAGTCAGCTGGGTCACGTTGCCTAGTTTGAATGGGCTCCACTTCCAGCCACCTTCCCTGTAAGGCCTGAGGACGGCTGACCATCCACTCTGTGTTACTCATGTTGCTGCTCTAACACCTTCACCTCCATCCCCTCACAGTTTACCAGGTCCTCAGGGTTCTCCCTAAAGTGGGTGATCAAGGTGCTACAAGATTTTGTCAGTCAGCTTTATTTTCTTTCACAAATTACACTAAGCCTTCTACTGATCAGTTGAAGAGGAGTATCAGCTCAAAGTTTGCTTTGAAACACCAGGGGAGAACCTTGATCTGATGTTTAAATGGATAGCTTAGAGCATTAACTGAAGCCGAAACATCCATGGTCAGTATATGCCTTGACTAGTTCAGACGTGAATCTCACAACAAAAGAGATTTGTACTTGTGACACTAGTCATTGCATTTAGGATGTTTTATGTCCTGTGATTCTTGGTAGCGCCTTGCTGTTGTGTGTTGCTGCTGTGGCCTTTCTTCTCATAAAACCCTCATCCTCTCCCCCTGGTGGTTAGGTACGATATCGTCGGGAGCACGCCTCAGGCCGACAGCTGCCCTTTTTCCCTCTGCTGGAAGACCTCATGAGGGATGTTTGTGACGGAGCTGCACTGCTCACTGTGGTCAACTACTACTGCCCAGATCTTATGAAGCTGGAGGGTATGCTGTGCCTTCATGTCATGCATGTACTGTCACACACTCACAAGCCCACGTTCAAAAGCTATGTCTCTATAATTATCAGTTGCCCTCGAAGAATTCTTCCATTAAGAGCATCGTGCTTTCCTTGCTAACACATTGAATTTAATATCCATGTGTGATTCTATTTTTGGCACTTGCACATGGCTTACTGTCCCAGTCCAGTCAGTATGACATTTAAAGCCATCAGGTCATTGAGTTGTGTTCTGATATAACTCTGCTCTCTGCCTGGTTGATCAGATATTTGCCTGAAGGAAGTCCCCTCCATTGCTGATAGCCTCTACAACATCCAGCTACTCAAAGAGTTTGCCAACGAGTATCTGAATAAAAGTTTTTATCTGACAACGGAGGACATGCTCTACTCACCACTTGTGCTCAAGGTATAAAAAGTGACCCACTGTGATTTCATAAACATTTGGAATAAAAATGTACAACTAACTTTGTCATACAAGAAGCCAGCCATTTTATCAGGCAGCAACAGACACTGCTGCTGTACTATTTTACCTGCCTAACAGATTTTTAAAAAAAACACTTGTATTATGTAGGGTAAATTCTTGAAGTCTTTTTAAGTGTTTCTTGTGCTCTCTATGCAGCACAATGTGATGGTGTTCATCGCTGAACTCTTCTGGTGGTTTGAGACCGTGAAGCCAGAGTTTGTCCAGCCCAGAGGTCTCCAAGAGTTCAAAGATGGTAAGCATCACAGTGGGATTCCTACACTCTGGATACAAAATAAAAATGTCACACTGGTGAAAGACTCATGCCCAAGCAGCTTTTAATGTTACACAGTAGTTAGTATAAGAAAACCACATGATTTTAGCGTACCTTTTTAATATTACTTTTCTTAAAAGTAAATGTAATTATATAATGTAAATGCACTGTAATTTAATGGAAAAGATTGACCAAATGTCTAAGGGAAATAGATATATAAAACATAAATAAACAACATTAGAGAAAATTCTTTAAAATGTTCCTCACGTCCTAATTACTTAAATTGTGTTAAAAAAAATCTACGTATATATCACAATATAAAACCTTTTTTCCTCTGGGTTTCAGGAGGTTGCCTTTGTGTGCCCATCTGCACCAGTCCTTCAGCATGATCATATAACTCAGTCTGTTACAAATTTAGAGAGAGGTAGCTTGAAGTCACACCTAACTGTACTCATTAAATATCGCATTCATTAAGAAGGTGGTATATTTACTTATTTGATGGTCTTTTTATTCATCAAGATTTTTTTTAACAAAATCAAAATGTCATGTTAACATCATTGGAAGTAACTCCCAGATTGAGATTTTCTTATGACAGCCAGCATCGATCACTGCATATATTAACATAATTAACACCTCTGTCTTCTTCCTCTCCTCAGCTCGAGCCATTGCTCAGCCCAAGAGTGCCCGCCCATCAGTGCCTATCTCCAACGCCACCAAGCGCAGCTTCCTGGCCAGCCCTGGTGTAGCTGATAACCAGAGCAGCCCTGAAGTCTGTAACAGGTACTTCCTGCACCCTGAAGACTCTGACCCCCTGTAAGTCTTCTCTCACTTTCCTTCTCATTCCACCTCATCATGATGCTGTCTCCTAACCACCTTACAGTAGCCCCACAAGGACGGGTAGATATGCCGCAGTGTCTGACCTTCGTTCTCGTCATGTGCCTTCCACCTCTAACCCTTTGTCTTCTCTCTTCACCACAATTGATAATGATTTGCACAGCTGATTATTGCATTGTCTCATCGTCTGTGTGTGCATTGTCAGTGTTCGTGTTGGGGTCTGAAGGTTTAGGTTAGCTGTCTTAAGGGGCACAGAACTGTCACTTGGGTTTTTTTCATGCCATGTTTTTTCATGTCACTTGCTTGCCTGTTGTCTTGGTAAGGTGTTTGGCTTTGTCTGCATCTGTGTTGAAAGATAACTGAACGCACTTGGTTTAGGGAAAGATGTCCTAACTGTGTGTTCCTGGTTAATCCAGTGCGACTTGCTGCTAATCTGCTTTGCCAGCAGTGTTTGAATAATAGTTCAAATTTTGTAACCTGCTAAAAACAATGTTTCTGTGTTTTTGGTTTTTAGTAAAGGGGGTCCAACCTTCAGTCCTTCCCACCCGCTCCTGCCCCTCCGACAGAGGCAACAAAAGCAGCAAGGAGATGATGGTGCAGGTAAGGACGACAGTCTTAACACCCTTTACATACCAACAAACGATGCAGGTTTTCTTGTCATTGTATGATGGGGACCAGCAGCTGTTATTATACTTATTCATCGCTTGTGTGTATGTTTCTGGTTAGGTATCAGAAACCGCTCCAACTCCCTGACTCAGGTGGACGGACAACCCCGAGGCTCCGTCGTTGCATGGCCTGATAAAAGGCAGAGGTACCTAAAGTAGTCACAAAATTTAATGAAGTCTAATCTAAAACAAATGTTTGTACTTAGGTTTAGTTTGGAACAACCTTTTTTTCATATGGCAGTCTGTATATTACTGTTAAGGTGAGAAGATGACACCTTTTTGAAGATGAGAGGTCTTTGTTTTAAATCTGCTGATGAATATTTAAATTGCAATGGATGCAAATATTATTTTCTTGTTGGTCTATTTGTAGGTAGGTGGGTCCAATAACTTTATTTATATGGCAAAGATTCTGGTGGTGCATTAATATTTGTAGAGCTGCCATGATTAGTCAGTTAATTCATTATCAAGCCAGACTGTTATTTGGCAACTATTTTCATAATCAATTAATTGTTAAGTCATTTTCAACAAAATTTAATATTCTGGGTTATTCTGGGTTTTGAACAAGTTGGCTTCTTGCTTTATTTTATCGTAGCAGATTCTGACCAGATATTATATATAAAGAAATTTTGCCATGAACTAGTAGAAGGCGTGACCCAATCTAATCTTAAAGATCGGTGTGGGGGCCGATAGCTGTATATCATGTTGACTTTACAAGTGAGATTTTCCCACGCTCTCCTTCTGCAGACCGCTGTCCACGCTGAGCCCCTACGTGTTTCATTCAGCCACAGACAGTGATGCAGACATTGCTTCTGGCGACAGTGTGAGTCTGGCTCGCTCCATAAGTAAGGACAGCCTGGCGTCCAACATCACCAACATCACACCCAAACATCAGACTGCTGTCCACCAGCCTTCACAGGCTGCAATGCGCAGAGTCAACGGCCACAGCCTCCTGGGCAATGTCAACATTGAGGACGAGGAAGAAACTCTGGCAGCAGTTGCAAGGACTGATGGTTCCGTCATCCCCAAACGGGTTGATGGGACACAAGCAACTGCCACAGTGGCACCCAAACCTTCCACTGAGTCCAAACCTGCACCAGATAGCTTTTACCTAGAACCACTGATGCCTGCCGTTATCAAAACGGCTAAAGAGAAGTCTGTATGCCTAAACAAGGAAGAGGAGAGTGGTGAAGGGCCCCACTCTTCAGGAAGAGGCTCTCTACGTCGAGGAGATGGATCTACGTCAGCCGTTCGAAGGAAAGCTCCCTGTGGCCTGAACCAAACCTTTACTCCTCCGGGTGAGGGGGCAGACATGTCAGCTGAGCCTCCACAGGCTCAGGCAGGGCTCAGGCCCGTTGTTACCAGCAGTGTGGACTCCTCGTCCAGAGAGCCAGCTGGGGGTTTCTACCTACATTCAGATTCTGAAGAACCAAAGTCTGGCCCAGGTCAGGACGCTGAGCTTGAAGACCTGGATGAGGAAGAAGAGGATCTGGATGAAGCCGTCACCACTAAAGACCCAAGCTGGCCCAGGAAAGCCTTTAATGAGGACGATGAAGAAGAAGAATCAGCCAAACTCCAAGAGGACATGAATGTGAAAGAGCATGAGGACAAAGACATGAATGGTGGCAGTGGACGCTCCAGTCCCTGCCTTAGCGGTCACTCCCAGGCCAGCAGTATGGCCAGTGGCAGTGTGCGCATGACCTCCTTCGCTGAGCGCAAAGCTCAGCAGCAGCGCTTCGGCAGCAACCATGACCTACGCTCCAGTGCCTCCAGCTCCCAAAGGACCACTCCAGATGGATCAGAGAGCAGTGGGCCTCTGGCTTCTTCCTGGAGGCTGAAGAGAGACCAGAGCCCCTCCTCACCCTTGGGTGGTTGCGCTCGTGCAGGCGATGGCAGCGGTGGCTCTAATGTATTGGCCTCTGAAATCGTCCAGCTGCGCATGCAGTTGGAGGAGAAACGCCGCGCCATTGAGCACCAGAAGAAGAAGATGGAAGTACTGTCGGCAAGGCAGAGGCAGAAGCTGGGAAAGGCAGCTTTCCTGAACATCGTTAAGAAAGGTGGAGGCAAGAGTGACACATTGCCCAACCCGCTTAAAGCTGACATCTCTAAAGACGAACTCGGTGGGGAGAAAGCACCATCAAGTAAAGATGATATGTGTGTTGATGCACTAAGAGGGGACAAAGTGGTGGAAGGAACCACCCCGCCAGGTGCCTTAGAAGCAGACAAGAAAGGGAACAATGGGAGTTTCTATCTCGATGAAGAGTTGGACCTGAACGAGTGCAGCCGCTCCATTGATCTGTTGAACGAAGCTATTGGCAGCATCCAGCAACAGATGATGCAGCTCTCACTGCAGCAGGAGATGTTGATGAAACAGAATGTACAGTCCCCCCCTGGTGCCGCTCCACCTCCTGGTGTCACAAGTGACAAAAATGGTGACTCAAAGGCGGGGGGAAGTTTTCACTTTGTGGAGCATGTCTCTGGCAGCAGCACGGCTCCCACCAGGAAACCCCCCAAGCTGAGCTCAGGCCGGAGCTCCAGGTCCAAGCCATCAGAGCTTAAGATAGCCAAGGAGCAGAGCCGGCATGCCTCCAGGACCCTCACCCCCACCCATGGTGGATCAGAGACATTACCACACCCAAGGCAGTCAGCTGGGGGCAGGTCCCCCAGGACCGACCAGCCCGACAGCCCCAGAAACCCCACAGCAGCAGAGACAATCGACAGGCCGGGCGCTGGCCATGCTCGCAGTGCCAGCTACCGCTTACACGACGAGGCGAACATTCGCCTGCCGACCCGAGTGGACCTGAAGGCAGTGGCTGCCCAAGAAGTGTCCTTTGACGAGTGCCTGTCCAGCACCCAGAAAGAGTCTGAGCTCAACTCTTCAGACGGTTCAGGGAAAGAGAACATACCATCAGACGAGGTGCAGCGCAACAAATCACACCTGATTGAGGTGGATCTGTCAGACCTGAAAGCCCCCGAGGAAGAGGAGTCTGCTGAGAACACAACGACAGAAGGAGGTGATGGAGAGCAGAAGTCAGTCATGGGGTTCTTCTTCAAGGTGATGCCCTTTTTATTTTGTTTTTATTACACTGATGATGATGATGATGATGATGATATCAGGAAATGAAGTCATCTATTGTGTAGTTAATTCCTGATGGTGTGCTATTTAAATCAGGGGTGCTTCTAATGATTTCTTTCGATATTGATATGTTTAAAATAACTTTTTTTTTATTATTCTGTTAAATATTTTAGTACATGAATATCAGAAATATTGGCAAGTTTCGATTTCAGTTTACCATTTTCTTTGTCCTGTTTTTTTTTTTTATGATCAGTCTAGTCATTTATTTCAATGCCAAACTTAAGTTTCATTTTCTCATGTTGTAGGATGAGCAGAAAGCAGAGGATGAGCTTGCAAAGAAGAGAGCCGCGTTCTTGCTGAAGCAGCAGAAGAAAGCTGAGGAGGCTCGACTCCGTAAACAACAATTAGAAGCAGAGTCAGAGCTGAAACGAGACGAAGCCAGGTAACCCACTACTTTTGACGACGTTCCAGAGGGACTAGAATGTTAGTATAACTACTTGAGCAGTGTGCATGATCTTCTTTTAAGACTCAGGTGATACTTTCCAACATACCTGCATCTGAGACAATTGGATGTGCGAATATAACCCTTTAAACAACTGACTTTACAAACAGCGTAGGCATCAGATGTTACTCTCAACACAAAGAAAGCTAAAACTCAGATGTTTGTTTTCAATACCAGGCGGAAGGCTGAGGAGGACCGCCTGCGTAAAGAAGAGGAGAAGACACGGCGGGAGCTGATAAAACAGGAGTACCTGCGGAGGAAGCAGCAGGAGATGTTCGAGGAACAAGGCCTCGTGAAGCCCAAAACCCCCAAACCCAAGCAGAAACACAGACCCAAGTCCGTCTTCAGAGAGGAATCCTCCAGCGATAATTTCTCCAAGTGCTCTTCCACACGTAAGATGGTTATATCATCACTTTGACATTTAGCTGTTACATTTTTCTTTCATGTCCTGGCATGGTACGCTTCATTTGATTTGTTTCCATATGAGCTGTGGGGCACGTTGGCCCACTGCCAGTTATTTTACTGCAAATATTACACGTCCTACAGTTATTAATACCACATTAATACTTACATGACTGAGATTCATTTCTGACACCAGTGTCTGCGTCACTTCTTTGGATTTAATATTGGGTTCAAAATCAGGGAGTGATACTAAGGGATTTTATTTAGGCTTTCCAACAGTGTTTTATAATGAAGTTGTCCCACCTTGCCTGAAACAGAGACTACCACTGTTAACACCATAAAAAATAATACAAAAATGTAACAATTACATGAAATAAAACAATAAACATGTAGAAAAGAAGAAACAATATTTCATGGAGCAAATATATGATTAAGTTTTTCTGTTGTTCAGGAGGCCATCTAGTAACTGACTGATTGTGAGGTGTGTTAAGATTTAAGTAGGGCACTACCTCAACTAAATCAAGAACATTTTCCCCCAGTGCATTATCGCTGCCATCATTTAATCTTTCCATAACTTTAAAGGGAACCTATTACACTTTTCCATAATTTCTGTCATATATATATATATATAAAAGTGTATAAATATATATATATTATTACAGTGTCAGATGTTCATTTTAAATGTGGCTAAAGTTTCAAACAATGAGGAAAATATATATATATATAAAAGTAATTCCTGTATCCCTGTCAGCAAACCATCAGACCCTGAATAGTGAATACTGTTTCCAGCAGTTTTTTCAAATTTCTAGGCAAGCTGAACTCAGACCAAGACAGATTTCTTTATATAGTCATCTGCCCCAGGCACGTCACTGCACATATTTACATTTAACCTACACTGCTACATGAAGTTACATGCAAATGTCAAGGAAACCAGTAATCTATTTTCTCCCAGATTTCGGTTCGTATTCCTGTTTGAACATGTCCGGTTATGTTTCTGAAGTTTTTAATTGGTGATTTTTAATGGGAGAAAGCTCCGCTATACACAGTCATTCCTCGGCTGCAAGTACACTGCTACATGAAGCTACATGCTGACGTCAGGAAAACATGTAATCTTAGCTGCTGATGTTGTAAATATCTCCCCGATTCTGGGTGAATATAGGTGTTCTAGCACAGACAGTATGAGGAAAATAAGATGTTTTTTTGGACATTTAAGCATGTAAACATGTTCTAGCAGAAACCCAACACACAAGTATGAACCTGAAACCTGAGCATAACAGGTCCCCTTTAAGTTGCATTAATAACAAAACTACGGGGAGTTTGACATGCAAGATTCTAGATACACTCTATTATAGTATTGTGTTTTATCGGTATCAGAAACTGAGTATGTTCAGTCCAACTGTCAGGAGGCTGCATATATGCTGTCTCTTTATATGTCTTTGTCCCATGGATAAGGTTTTACTGTGTGTGTAAGAGTTGCTTCCAAAGTGACACTAAAAATTTTTGTTTCACATAGCTGACAACCTGAGTAACGCTCAATCAGGCTCCAGTCTGTCCCTGGCCTCTGCTGCGACCAACGAGGCCGACAGCGTCAACTCTGGAGGGGCTGGCTCCCAGCGGTATGTTGCCCACAAAAATACGTGTACTTGAGAAAATTTGATGCATTTATGTCTAAGTTTGCATATTTTATAGTATTTTCTGTTGACAAAAAATGTCATCATGTTAACCTTAGTGTTCAACCTGTACTTCCTGTCGTTGTGTCCTCTAGCTGTGACTCTGTGGAGTCGTTTCCAGGCAGCCGTAACAACAGTCGAACTGCAGAGAGAGACTGGGACAACGGCTCCACTGCATCTTCCATCACGTCCATGGCTGAATATACTGGTCAGTGCACACATTTTACTCTAATGACCTGAAATACTTTTGACGAAAGTCCAGAATGACTGAAACATTAGTATAACTGATAAATTGGCAAGGTGACCAAGAGCAGTGTGTGGGATCTTTTTTAAGACTCAAAGAGTACTTTCAAACACACTTGCGTTAGACCTGTATGTGTGTTATTTCAGTGTCCTTTGATCACTGTTGAAAAGATCAATACAGGGGTTAAAGTTCTCCAGCACAGCGCCGGATTTCCGGTGTGGCGAATTTTCTGTCTGGCATGGGCAGAAGTGCTCTGCAGTGCGAGCATTTCATTCGCATTTACCCCTTAAAATGTATATATGTGCGAACCAGGAAAATGATTTGGGCGCACGGTGTGTGAGTAAACACAACCTACTGTTTACCGTAATCGGCATTGGACGTTTTTCATTGATAACCGATCAAATAAATGTATTTTAAAACTCGCTCCTTTGGCTCTGATACAGCCGTCTCCCTCCCTGCCTGCAGTCCCCACTGCACTGGGCTTTGTAACAATGTCCCGCTTACAGCCCCCTCTGATTGGTTACATGGCACAAGTGATAGCCAATCAACACTGACGCCTGTGCATGCTTTCACATCATGTCACATTGAGACACAGAGCTCAGATGGAGCGGGAGAGGCTCCGGTAAGCCAATGGTAATTTTGAAGGTAAGGTAACAGAAACCAGACAGAAACAAAGTTTCAATAAAAATCCTCTATGCTGAAGTTTTAAAGTCACCACCACATATGATCCATTTCAATGATGACATGCTTGCCCAGAGGTGAAATTTCGACGTAACTGCCTGTTTAATTCACATCAAGCGCGATACAATTTTGCAAACAGCCTAAATGATTTAGCTTCTAAAAATAAATAGCACCAAGGCAAAAAAGAGATGTAGGAGCTATAAGTCAAAAAGTCTGATAACCACTGAAAGTTTAATCTCTGTTTATAAACTCATTATGCTATAAAAGTTTAATCTGAAAAGTAACTACTAATTAAAGCTATAATCTTTTTGTTCGTTTTGATAATAAACACGTTCCTTTGCAACACATACATTTCTATTTCTTCATTTTGTGATCGCAACACCAAGCCCCCCGCTCCGGTAAAGATTTCAGGCACACAAATCTTCCGTGCTCCACATTTCAGGCACACAAATCTTCCGTGCTCCACATTTCAGGCACAAAATTTTCTCTTGCTTTAACCCGTCAATATGTCAGGACACATTAACAAGGCCAGTCGATTCTTTGCTTGTCATTATTTTGAGAACACAATAAATGGACAGTATGTACAGTGCCCTCCAAAAGTATTGGAACAGTGAGTCCAATTCGTTTACTTTTGTTGTCGACTGAAAACATTTGGGTTTGACATCAAAAGATGAATATGAGACAAGAGATCAACATTTCAGCTTTTATTTCCAGGTATTTACATCTGGATCTGATACACAACTTAGAAGATAGCATTATTTGTAATGGAACACAAATTTTTTAGGTGAGCAAAAGTATTGGAACATATAAACTTAAAATAGATTAAAGTGAATGAGACTTAATATTTAGTTGCAAATCCTTTGCTTTCAATAACTGCATCAAGCCTGTGACCCATTGACATCACCAAACTTTTGCATTCTTCTTTTGTGATGCTTTTCCAGGCTTTCACCGCAGTCTCTTTCAGTTGTTTGTTTTGGGGGGGTTACTCCCTTCAGTCTCCTCTTCAGCAGGTAAAATGCATGCTCTATTGGGTTTAAGTCTGGAGACTGACTTGGCCAGTCTAAAACCTTCCACTTCTTGCCCCTGATGAACTCCTTTGTTGTTTTGGCAGTGTGTTTTGGGTCGTTATCTTGCTGCATGATGAAGGATCTCCCAATCAGTTTGGTTGCATCTTTCTTTAAATTAGCAGACAAAATGTTTCTGTAGACTTCTGAGTTCATTTTGCTGCTGCCATCATGTGTTACATCATCAATGAAGATGAAAGAGCCCGTCCCAGAAGAAGCAATGCAAGCCCAAGCCATGACATTACCTCCACCGTGTTTCACAGATGAGCTTGTATGTTTGGGATCATGAGCAGATCCTTTCTTTCCCCAAACTTTCGCCTTTTCATCACTTTGGAAAAAGTTAATCTTTGTCTCATCAGTCCATAAAACTTTTCCCAGAATTTTTGAGGCTCATCTCTGTACCTTTTGGCAAATTCCAGCCTGGCCTTCCTATTCTTCTTGCTAATGAGTGGTTTGCATCTTCTGGTGTAGCCTCTGTACTTTTGTTCATGAAGTCTTCTGCTAACAGTAGATTGTTATACCTTCACTCCTGCCCTCTGGAGGTTGTTGCTGATGTCACTAACAGTTGTTTTAGGGTCTTTCTTTACAGCTCTCACAATGTTTCTGTCATCAACTGCTGATGTTTTCCTTGGTCTACCTGTTCGACGTCTGTTGCTTAGTACACCAGTGGTTTCTTTCTTCTTCAGGACATTCCAAATGGTTGTACTGGCTATGGTCAATGTTTGTGCAATGGCTCTGATTGATTGTCCATCTTCTGTCAGATTCAAAATTGCTTCTTTTTCACCCATAGACAGCTCTCTGGTTTTCATGTTGGTTCCACCTCTAAATGCAGTCTTCACAGGCAAAACCTATCGTACCCAATCTGAAACTGGGCTCAGACATTCATTGCTATTTATTGTTTGAATAATCAATGTAATTGGGAAACACCTGGGCAACAAAACACACCTGTCAGTCACATGTTCCAATACTTTTGCTCTCATGAAAAATGGGTGGGTTCAAACAAAAGGTGCTATCTTCTAAGTTGTGTATCAGATCCAGATGTAAATACCTGGAAATAAAAGCTGAAATGTTGATCTCTTGTCCCATATTCATCTTTTGATGTCAAACCCAAATATTTTCAGTCTACAACAAAAATAAAGGAATTGGCCTCACTGTTCCAATACTTTTGGAGGGCACTGTAACTGCCAAAGTGATGTAGACTTGTTTGCTGCATTTAATTTATAATTATCTGACTGAATGATTATTTGCTCCACAAGATGTATGTGGTCTAACTTGCTTTTTCTCCTTTAGGTCCCAAACTCTTCAAGGAGCCCAGTGCCAAGTCAAATAAGCCAATCATCCACAATGCAATCTCCCACTGCTGCCTGGCTGGCAAAGTCAATGAGCCTCAGAAGAACCAGATCCTAGAGGTCAGTTCACATGCAACAAGCTGATCACTTTCTTCCACTTGAATCATTTTACATCACACTGAATTAAAAAAGATGTGACAAGTACATCTGACTTTAATCACCATATTCTAACATTAAATTTTGCTACCGTGGTTACATGACAGATGACTTTCTCTGATCCATTTTTGTGGCACTGAGGTGGGAAGCACTCACCATTCACACAATAACAGCAGAAACTCACTGTAGGTTGAGCTAGGCCTACTGGACACATGGGCTTTACTATCTCTTGCACATGCAAAATCAAGACTTTAAAACACCACCAGGTATCTGCTTCTGTGGACGTGTAAATGCATTGACCGCTTTTACTCCATCTAATCAAGAATTTTCTCTGTTGCTGGATTCTTTGTTCACCATGGAGACGTGAGAAAAACAGTTTTCTTTATGAATTTGACATAACTTGAGTTAGAGGCCTGTACGGGTTCAGTTTTGCCAACCTGCACCAGCTCGCATCTGCAAAGCTCAGTACTGGAGCCAGCCTGTTACCCGTAATTATCCCCAAGTCAAATCCAGACCCGCCCTGACCAATAAAAACAAGTCCTGTGACTCGACCCATGATTAGGCACATGTTTTTGCTGTTCTGTGTAATGTACTGTCCCCTTCAGATGTGCAAACTACTCGCTCAGTCAACTCCCACTTGTTCATGTAACGCAAGGCGACAGAAAGATAACTGATTTTACTGTAATCATCTGTCCACATATCCAAAGTAACTTCCCCGTAGCTATCAGCCAGCTGCATCCTCAATATCCTCCATGCATATTTTGTCAGTCTGCCACGTGATACAGTTGATGTGGAGCGTCCACACGGCCAATTTGGGCTTCTGTGATTAGTCTGCATTTAGTTCATTTTTATCCATGTCCATACCCATGAATTTATCTAACTCCCTGGAAGACGACATCTTATCTCAATGGGAGCTTCCTGGCTAAAGAAAGGATAAAAACAAAATACCCACGGGTCCCCACCTTGTGCAGGACTCTGGCACAGGAAGAGTAAATGATGTACAGGTGATCATTTTGCAGGTAAAATATTCCTTTAAAAACAGTTTTCTTACTTCTGTTTGACCTCTCTCCACCCTAGGAGTTGGAGAAGTGCGAGTCCAACCACCTGATGATCCTGTTTCGGGACGGTGGCTGCCAGTTCCGGGCACTCTACTCGTACTTCCCCGACACCGAAGAGATCCAGAAGCTGACAGGAACAGGACCCAAGAGCATCAGCAAGAAGATGATCGACAAGCTGTACAAGTACAGCTCAGACCGAAAGCAGTTCACCGTCATCCCCGCCAAGACTGTGTCAGTCAGCGTGGACGCCCTGACCATCCACAACCACCTGTGGCAGGCCAAGAGAGGTGCTGTGCCAAAGAAAAGCGGGAAATAGCAGAGAGCCAGATTTTAAACCCTCTGTCATCCAAATCATCTTATGCCCATCTTGCTTGTTTCCTGAACTGACTGCATTGATTGACGCCCACAGCCAAGCTCATCGCCGTGAAACCTACTCGGGAGAGGACACATTTATGGACATGTGGTCCTCTGTAGGTGGACCCAGGCAGAAACAAGGGAAAAGGTGTGTCTGTGTGTATGTGTGTGTGTGTGTGTGTGTGTCACAGGTGGCCTGAGGGACTGGTGCTTGCAACAAAAAGAGGAATGCCGGCTTCTTCCCCCTGTGATCTCAGTGCGATCTGTTCGGGTTGCTTTCGCCCCGGCTCCCGTTTTACTACGACGACCACGACTCAAGCATATGGCATTTTCTTTTCCTCTCTGTCTCTCATTTGTGGTGGATGTTCATTTTTTACATGAAGTATTTATTAGTTCAGCACTGTCATGGTCGAGAGCTCAGCTGCAGCACTAAAGTCCTTCCTTCTTCGGACAAATTTGGACAAAAGGAAGGGACGCCGGGGGAACTCTGTCGCTCTTTTCAGAAAATCCGAAAACAAGGGACCTTTGTACAACCCTTTAGGACTGCCAGACTGCTCTGCTGTCCCAACACTAAACAACAATCTCTTCCTGCGTGGACTGTCGAATCTGTCGAATCAGGCTGGCATTACCGATTTTGCCTCACCAGGGATCTCCAAAAAACAAACCTGCTGCTCTGAACTGTCTTCTTCTTTTGTCACAGGGGAGCTCCTCAGGTCTCCCCCAGACATCTGTTGGCCTTTCATGCATCGTGGTACTATCTATTTATTCAACCGCTTTTTAATCTAGACGCTGATCGTGTAGCACTGGATATGTGTATAGCAAAAAAGTAAAAAACAAAAAGAAAAAAAAAAAGTTGACGGTCATTTTAAATACTTTTATTTGTTAAAACATCCTTTTTCTGGAGGGTGTCAAAAGAGGGTGAATGATAGGTTTTGGTACAGAAATTATGCTTTTTTTTGGTTTTGTTTCAGCTTATTTTTTAAATATTATTTTATTATGATTAAAGCGATGTGGTATAGAGTCTGAGCTGATGTTATGTGTTTTCATCATAACGGGAATTCTCTGATGTTTAGAGCTTAGTTGTGTTTTCTCTCTCCACTGGGCACTCTTGGATTGTCCTGTATAAAGGTGCACTCATGAACACTTGTCGACGGCTTCTTTCATGCAATGTAACTCCTCCCCTCCTTAAATGCCCCCTCTCCTTCCCCTCCCTGAGTGTTTTTGTCGGCCTGTCCCATCTTTAACCACGAGAGCGGCACACACATACACACGCACACACACACACACACTCTTGTTGTTGAAGGGTGTTTTCGTGCCGCTCTGTAACCGCTTCGAATGACAGTATTTGATATATTCACAAAGGGGTTTGTGTGTGCGGGCGGGTGGGGGACTGTGGTTCAGTTATGTACCAACATTAAAGAACATTCCTCCAAGGTGTTGACAAACACTGCCACGTCGTCTCTTCTCTCTGTCATTAAAAAAAAATAAAAAAATAATCAAAGTGCTTTTTTAGAAACCGTTTGTTGGCCTCGAGAACAACCAGAAGTGTTGCACGAGCACTTTACTTTCTGTTTGTTGGGGAGTTTTACATTCTGAACGGGCATAAAAACTAATTGATACTGCTGTTAAAACTAAAACCAAACACTAAGATTTAGTACTGACATGTAACGCTGACGGGCCTCCGCTGATATGATACTACTGCAGTCTCCAAAAACAACAGAATACTTGATTTCTCATTTGCTGCATTTGTTTTTGGGTGGAGGAGGTGGCAGATCTTTAATTGTATGCCAGTGTATTTTTGTTAACTAAAAGATTGTATTGGCATTTTGGTCACCATTTTTTTGTTACACTAGTGTACTTTTCATCCTTGTTGATTTTATCTTTGATCCCATGCCATCTATTTATTTTAAAAATGGAAGCACTGAAACAGAATAAATTTTCAAGTGAATAAAAGTCACATTTTTTCATTTTTATTCTTTTCTCATGGCTTCATTTGTCCATTTGTGAGACTCCACTGTTTGTTTTATGTTGCTAGTTTTAGACACAGCACTGATTTTAATATTAAGCTCACCAACGTCACACGTTTCTTTTTTTGTTTTTCACATGGTTTTCACAGTAGGCAGCGCTGCGTCTTTTCACTGAAATGTTCATTTTTATGGAGACAGATTTGACTCACTATTATTATTATTATAATAATATAATATTATTATTATTAATATTATTTT